CATTTAGTCTACAATGTTGTTCATGTTTTCTTATTTTCTGTCTGGTTCTTGTTATTGATGTTTCCATTATCATTGTGTTGGTGCCTGTTTCTTACTCTGTTCTTTTAATGTTTGATTTGCTTATTTGGGAGCTCTGATGTTAGGTATATGTATATTTGCTGTATCTGGTGATTGGCCCTTTTATAATTGCATAATGTCCCTCATTGTATCTTTTGATAGTTTTTAGTTAAAATCTAGTTTGTCTTTATATAAATATGGCCACCCTTATCCTTTTACACTACCAGTTACATGGAATATCTTTTTCCATACTTTTACTTTTACCCTTTCTTTATAGCTAAGTTGACTCTTTTGTGCGTAGTAATGGTTGGATTTTTAATACATTAAGCCAACCTACTTATGATTGGGGAGTTTATTCTATTTGTATTTAAAGCAGTTATTGATTGGGAAGAACTTATTATTGCCATATTGGATTTTTTTCCTATATGTCCTATAGCTGTTTTGTTTCCTTTCTTGCTCCTTTCTTTTGTTTTCCGCTGATTTTTAAAATAACATTCTTTGCACATTTCCTTGTATCTATTTTAAAAAGAATTATTTATTTAATTTAATGTATTGTTATTTTTTAACTTGCTGATGGATATGTGTACTTACCAGAGAGAGACACAGAGTAGGGGAAAAGTGAGAAAGCAGACTGCCATGCCAGGTCCAGGACTAGAACCATCAACTGCCATTTGGGAGCCAGTGCCTTAACCACTATGCCACCTTAACCATCTTGTATTTTTTATAGGTAATTTTTCTGTGGTTACCACGAGGTTACATAGAATAGCTTCAAATTATACTGTTTTTAAACTGCTAACAATTTAACTTCGATTATTTATAAGAATTCTATAATGGTGATGTTGTTAATATCATACATTACATTTTTTATGTCGTCTATCAACATGCTTTTAATTTTTTTTTTTTTTTGAGAGGTTTTTGCTCTAGGGCGCGTGCACTCGCCAGACAGACAGAGAGAGACAGATAGAAAGCGAGAAATCACCCCCCAGGGGGGATGGCCACGCCACATTCCCTTCTCCTCCATTCTCCTCTTGAGATCTTGGGCACGCACGCACACGCGCCGAGCGTGAGTTTTAAGCCACCAGGTCCAGGATGCGAACCACAGTCAACTACATGGGAGTTCAGTGACATAGCCATTACGCTAACTGCTGGTCCCTTTAATTGTTACTTTTCAGGCATTCTTTACATCTGTCAGAATTAAGTGATTTGTGCCCTGATATAACAATAATACTGGATTCTGTATTTCCTAAGTTTACCAGCCAAGTTTATATTTTTGTATGCTTTTGGGTGTTGTGTATTTTTTTTCATTTCGGCTTGAAGGACTCTCTTGAGCTTCTCATAGGACCAATCTAGTAGTGATGAACCCTTAGCTTTTGTTTATCTGGGAAGATTGTAGATTTCTCCATTTTTGAAAGACAGAATTACCACATAAACTATTCTTTTTTTTTTTTTTTTTTGAGAGGTTTTCGCTATAGGGTGCGTGTGCTCGCCAGACAGACAGAGAGAGACATAGAGACAGAAAGCGAGAAATCACCCCCCAGGGGAGATGGTCACGCCACAATCCCTTCTCCTCCATTCTCCTCTCGGGATCTTGGGCACGCACACGCGCCCGGCGTGAGTTTTAAGCCACTGGGTCCAGGACGTGAACCGCGGTTGACTACGTGGAGTCCAGCAACATAGCCATTACGCTAACTGCTGGTTCCCAGACATAAACTATTCTTGATTGGTAGTTTCTTTCAGCATATTAAATATATCACACACCTTTAGGCATGCACTTTCAGCTGAGAAATCTGCTCATAATCTGATGGAACTTGCCTTGTATGTTTTGAGTCACTTTTTTCTTGTTACTCGCAACTCTGACATCTTGATTATAATTGTATCAGTGTAGGTGTTTTTTGAGTTAATTGTCAGAGATTTTTTTCCTTTTTCTTATTTTTTAAGAAAAATTTTTGCTATAGGTCGTGTGCTCTTGCCAGAGACACAGAGAGGCAGAAAGTGAGAAATCACTTCCCAGGGGCAATGACCATGCTACAGTCCCTTCTCTTCTACTCTCCTCTTGGGATCCTGGGCACAACAAAGGCACCACCCCCTGCCATGAGTTCAAAGCCTCCAAGTGTGGGACTTGAACTGCGGTCAGCCATGTGAGAGTCCAGTGACATAACCGTTACACCATCTGCTGGTCCCTAGTTGGAGGTCGAAAAGCTTCTGGGATTTTTCCATTTCCTTCTGCATCAAGAAGTTTTTTGCAGTTATTTTTTTAAAAATTTGTCAGAGGATGCATGTGCTTGCCAGAGATGGATAGGGCTTAGAGGTAGGGCTAGAAAGCACCCCCAAATGGGGAGTCCAGTGCCCCCAACCACCACACCACCTGATGGCTCTATTGTCCATATTTTTACTCCTCCAAGCAAGAGCAAGAACTCTTCTCCTTTATATATCTCTCATCAAAACCTGAAGTGTTTGGGACCAGCAGTTAACGTAATGGCTATGTCGCTGGACTCCCATGTAGTCGACCGCAGTTCGTGTCTCGGACCCGGTGGCTTAAAACTCACTCAGGGCATGTGTGCGTGTGTGCCCAAGATCCCAAGAGGAGAATGGAGGAGCAGGGATTGTGGCGTGGCCATTCCCCCGGGGGATGATTTCTCGCTTTCTGTCTCTCTCTGTCTGGCTGGCGAGCGCATGCGCCCTGTAGCAAAAACCTCTTCAAAAAAAAAAAGAAAGAAAGAAAAAAAAACCCTGAAGTGTTCTTTTCCTTTATCTTTACCATTTTGAGTATGATAATTAACTCAGGATTTACTTGAAGATTCATTTCTCCCCCATTCTTGTGTTTTATTTTTTATTGGCTTTTATTTTATTTTGCTTTCTCTTGTTGCATATGTGATTATCTTGATAGCCAAACTTTAAGTACCTTTATAGCACATTATCTTCATTTTATCTTTAGTCCCAGTTACACACATTTCTAATACAACGTTATAGGTTAAAGTTATTTTATAAAAATAGCGAGATGTATTTGTTAATTGGAATATAAGAATGGTTAGTGATGGGACCAGCAGTTAGTGTAATGGCTATGTTGCTGGATTTCCACATAGTCGACTGCGGTTCGAGTCCCGGACCCGGTGGCTTAAACTCACGCCGGGCGCGTTTGTGTGTGCGCGTGCCCAAGATCCCGAGAGGAGAATGGAGAAGGGATTGCAGCGTGGCCATCCCCCCCTGGGGGGTGATTTCTCGCTTTCTATCTCTCTGTCTCTCTCTGTCTGGCAAGCGCATGTGCCCTATAGCAAAAAAAAAAAAACCTCTTCAAGAAAAAAAAAAGAATGGTTAGTGACATCTAGCCAATGTAATTCTAAGCACTTATTTCTTTTGGTTTAATATGTTATTCTTACACTTGATTTAATCCTAGAGTTCTTTTATTTATTTTTCACATTTGAAGAAATACGTGCTGATATTGTCATTAATGGTGAAGGCCTAGATAATGGTAATTAGTATATAGATGCTAGAATTCCATTTCTTTTTTTCTTTTATAAAAAAACAGGTTTGGGGCCAGCAGGTAGTATAATAGTTAAGGCACTGGACTCCCACATGGCCGATTACAGTTCAAGTCCCAGACCCAGTGGCTTGAAAATTATGTTGGATGCATGTATGTGTGTGCCCGAAATCCCAAGAGAAGAATGAAGGAAAAGGGACTGTGGCATGGCCATACCTCCTAGGGCGTGATTTAAAATTTTTCTTCTGCTTGTCTCTGCCTTGCCCCCATTGGCAAAAACCTAAATAATAATAATAATAATAATAACAATAACAGCAATAATAATAATAATAAATAACAGCTTTATTCGAATCTGATTCATATACCATGTACTTAAATTGTTTACTTAGTTATACTTTCTAATTTATATTTAGTGGTTTTTACATGTTTGTATACAGCATGGTTTTTCAAAGCATACATACAGTGTGTAATTATCAAATCAAGGATATAAACATATCATTTTCAGCATTGAGCAATACATTATATTATGTGTATTTTCAATATTCATTCTACTAGATATTTTTTACAGTTCCACTTCTTTGTTCCCTGATTTGGTGAGAAAGGGCTGAAATAAGTTCTTTCTGAAGATTAAACTTGTGACATCTTTTTATGAAATTACTCAAGTCATGGTGGCAGATAACATTTTTTTTATAAGATCTTAAAAATAATACTGATAGAAGAATTTCGATTTTTGACATTGTACACTACTTAAGTTTTGTTTGTTGATTTTCTGGTGAAAATATGCCTGCTATGTCTGATATGTATTATAGCTTTTTGTTGAATGAATGAGTATAGTTGTTCTTTAGATTCATATTATTAGTGTTCATTTAACCCTTACAGTATATGAGCCATTTTCTTTTTCTTTTTTTTGAGAGGTCTTTGCTATAGGGCGCATGCACTTGCCAGAAAGACAGAGAGAGACAGAAAGCGAGAAATCACCCCCTAGTGGGGTATGGCCACACTGTAATCCCTTCTCCTCCATTCTCCTGTCAGGATCTTGGGCACGCATGCACACATGCCCAGCATGAGTTTAAGCCACCGGGTCCAGGAATTGAACTGCAGTCAACTACATGGGAGTCCAGTGACAAAGCCATTACACCAACTGTTGGTCCCAGTATATGAGCCACTTTCAAATTTATTTAGTTTTCACAAGTACACTGAATTATAAGAATTGTATTCTTATTTCAAATGATAAGCATTTTTCTTCAACAGAATAAATAATTTGTTTAAGATGTAACTAATAAGTGGCATTCCCAGGAGTTAAGTTCTTGTTTCAACTTGTAACGGTTTTCACTATATAGTACAAGTCACATATCATATATTGACACAGGATTTAAAGGTCTTGTTTTTTATAAAGATTACCTTATGTATTTGGTTTTATTTTTACTTTGGTATTTCCTCCCTCACTCACTCCACCCCCCACTAGAATCCACCGAACCCACCTGTATCACCAGGAAAGTCGGCAAATGAAGTCAGCAGCAATAATAGTATGCCCTACAGGTGAGGATTATAGTCTTTTTCTACTTTATAAATAACAGAACTAGATTCTGATTTCTTTTGTTTGGTAGAGAAATCTTGGAGTACACTTACATATATTTATGTAGAGATAAGTGTTTAGTATAATGGAATGAGTATATATACTTTCTATGCTTTGCTAAATTGCTCGTTAATGGATATTACTTTTGTTAATTTATTATGCTTTCTTTGGTCACTATATATTTCTTTTAACTATTTGTTATAGTAATATTCTTTCAAGGAATTCAGAAATGTTTCAGTAAGTGTTGAGGAAGACTAATCTATATATATTGCAACCTACATTTGGTCTTTGGGTTATGTACTGATGATATAGAGTATAAGAGGAAGATTCTTCTCTAATGTCTTCTAAACCCTACTGTTTAGAGGTCTATGTGCTAACTTGGCACTCAGTACATCTGCTTATAATTTAGCATTGAAGTACCCAAGTCTAGCCATTTCTTCTTCCCTATGGACTACGGCCCACCTCCCTGCCACCCCCCTTTCTTTTCTTCTCTTTTTCCTCTCTCTCTTCCCTCCTTCCTCTCTCTTTTCCCTCCTTCCTCTCTTCTTTCCCTCCTTCCTTTCTTTCCTTTTTAGCTATAGGGCACCCGTGCTCACCAGGGAGACACTGAAAGTGAGAAACCATCGTGGGGTGGGGGGCAGAGAGAGGTGGGGAGAGACTGACCACCACAGTCCTTTCTCCTTTTCTCCTCTCAGGGTTTTGAGCATGTACACATGCACATGGTCCAGCATGTTTTTCAGGGTGATGGGTCTAGGGTCAAATGCGCAATTGCCCACGTGGGATCCAGCTACCCCAATCACTGTGATATCAGCTGGCTCACCACTGCTTTGTTTATACATCATTTGCTGTTCCCCAGAATGGCATATCCATTGACTATTTATGTGTATGTATTTTATAGAAATGCAGGCACAGTGAGACAGATGCTGGAATCCAAAAGAAGTGTGAGTGAGAGTGCTCCACCATCCTTTCAGACTCCTGGGAATACAGGTAACATTTTTGAAGAGAGTGTTTTTTAGGACTTGAAGGCTTTTTTATTTTTAACATTCCTTTGAGATTGAAATGAACTAAAAAATTGTGTACATTGGTCTATGGAAAATTTTATATAATTCATTTATTTATTTGTCAGGGGGCATGTACTCTTGCCAGAGACAAGGGGAAAGTGAAAAAGTGCTCCCCAGTGGGTTCTGTTCATGCTGCAGTCCCCTCTTTTATTTTTCTCATCTTGTTGGGATTTGGGACACACACGCATGTGCCTAGTGTGTTTTCTAAGTCATTGGGGCCAAGATTCAAACCATACAGATATCCATAAGGAACTGACTGTTTAACCACTAGGCTGTGAGGTAGGTCATAACATTTTATTAAAAATTCAGGATCATAGGTAAGGCATGAAGATACAGACATTTGATCTCTAGTATAGTTGTTCTCCTATTCTTTGGTCTCTAGATCCCTTTACAATCTTAAAAAAAAATTATTAAAGATCCCAGAGAGCTTTTGTTTATGTGGGTTTTGTCAAATGATATTTACTATCAATTGGAATTAAATAAAATTAAAACAAAATCTTAAAATGTTTCTTCATTAAAAAAAAAAGTTGTCACAGTCTTGGTGGAACAAGCAATTACAGTGAACTGCAGTGATAGAATTCTTGACCAGCTGTGGGTTTGGATCTGAGTTGATCTGAAAACACAATAAGTTCAGCATGCACACCCAAGATCCTTATGAGCTGTGGAGGTCTGGAGGAAGGGCTTGCTGTATGAAGAGATTTTGTCAGGGATGCCTCCCCCATTTTCCCATGCATGCACTGTTTCTCATGAATGAAAATAATAATGAGCCCAAAATATATAACACAAAGAACATTTTTAATCAACAGTAACTTAAAAAATAACCTAAATTTTCCAAACTTAAAAATAACACTAAAGGCCCAGCCATGGCATAGGCAGTGGAATTCCTTTACTTGAAAATGGATCTGTATGGGAGACCCATGTTTGGATTCTGAGTTGACCAGAACACACTGGGCAATGCCGTGATCTTAGCTGGCTGGAAGGCTGGGGGAGGTTCACAGCATAGCAGGACCCTGAAAGAATATCCATCCCTTGGGGCCAGCAGGTGGCATGTTGATTAAGGGCACTGGACTCCCACAAGGCTGACTGCGGTTCATGTCCTGGACTTGGTTGCTTGCTTTTTTGTTTTTCCCTTTCTTTCTCTTACTTTGTCCCCCTCTGGTGAAATTAAAATAAACAAATAAATAAATAAACTTTGTAAAATAATTTTTTTAAAGGAAAAAATCCGTCCTGGAATGAGCAGATGGTTTAATGGTTATGTTGCTAGACTCCCATGTAGTTGACTGTGGTTTGAGTCCGTGACCTGGCAGCTTAAACTCACACTGGGCACATGTTTGTGCATGCCCAGAGTCCTGAGAGGATACTAGAGGTGAAGGGATTGTGGCGTGGCCATCCCCCACTGGGGGTGATTTTTCACTTCTTAATCTCTCTGTGTCTTTCTGGTGAGTACATGGGCCCTACAATAAAAAATCTCCTCTCCCTAAAAAAAAAAAAAAAAAAAAAAAAAAAAAAAGACAAAATATATCCATCCCATGGGACTAGCAAATGGCATAATGGTTACATCACTGGACTCCCTCTTAGTTGACTGTGGTTCGAGTCCCAGACCTGGCAGCATACACCAGGCACATGTGCATGCATGCCCCAAATCCGGAGAAGATCGTGGAGGAGAAGGGAATGTGGTGTGACCATTCCCCCAGGGTGGTGATTTCTCACTTTCTGTCTCTCTGTTTCTCTCTTTCTCTATCTCCAGAGAGCGCATGCACCCTATGGCATAAATCTCTCTCAAAGAAAAAGAAGAATATCCATTTCTCATTCCCACACCCACAAGAAATAAATGAGTTAAAAGTTAGTTAAAAGATTGTTAGCATTATTGTCTTATGCATTTACAAATCTCTTTAGTATTTTGCTTAAGACATTAAGACAACCGAAGGTAGTTGAGTTCTTATAGCTACAGCTGTTTTTAGTCTGTTTCAATAAATCGATTTAGCTGAAGTATGTGAAAGAAAATTTTAGGCTTTTCAGATAATTGTGTTCATTATTTGATACCATTAGATAGTAGTTTCTTTGTCTTTCAAATAATTACTTAATTTTATCATTTTTATTTCTTAATTTGATGAGAGAGAGAGAGAGAGACAGAGAGAGAATGAGAATGAGAATAAGAGAAAGAGAAAGAGAAAGAGAGAAAGCAAGCCACCAGGTTTGGTACTCAAACCACGATCAGCCCTGTGGGAGTCCAGTGCCATAATCACCATGCCACCTGCTAGCCCCAAAGAAGTTTCTTTAGAGTTAGTTGCAAAGTAGAATCTGCCATATCAATAAACAGTCTAATTCCATTAAGAGTCATCTATTTGTCTTGCACTTGGGTGGGTCGTTTACTTATATCATTCATGGAATATTTGAAAATGTTCACTGTGTTAGGTAAATCTTCCAAAGATCAACACATTTCATTGGTAATGTTTTTAAAATAACATTTTTAGGGGATTGCAGGTGACATGGTGGTTGAAGCACTGGACTCCCACATGGCAGACCACAGTTCAAGTCCTAGACCTGGTGGCTTCTTTTCTCTCTCTGGTCAAATTGAAGACTAATATTAAATAAATAAAACTAAACAAAGAATTCTTCAAAAAAATAATATTTTTAAATTTTAAGTTTTAAATAATTTCTTAGAAAAATTCTTAAGGATTTGGAAAGCTGTTATTATCTCTGTGACAGAATTTTTTCTCTAAAATTCTAATTTCTTTTTTTAAAGCTCAAATTTGATTATTGCCAGTAAATACTATTGGGTTTTTTGTTTGATTTTAAGAATCATGTATTTTAATTTTATTTGCTATGGTTATTTTTTAATTTGACCAGAGGTAAGAAAGAAAAAATGAGAAAGCATGCTTCCAGGTCCCGGACTCAAATTGTGGTCGACCACATGGGAGTCCAGCACCTTAACCACTATGCCACCTGCTGACCCCATGGGGTTTTTTGTTCTGTTTATTTTTTTTCTTTTTTTCTTATTCATTTATTTTTGGAGAGATGTTTGCTATAGGATGCAAAGAGAGACAGGAAGAGACAGAAAAAACGGGAAATCATGCCCCTCACCCCCACCCCTGGGGTCGGAGGGATGGCTATGCTACAGTCTCTTCTCCATCCTCCTCTTGGGCACATACATGCACATACTGGTGTGAGTTTCAAGCTGGTGGGTCCAGGGCTCATGCTGGAGTTGGCCATGTAGGAGTCCAGTGCCTTAATGATTACACCACTTGCTGGTTCCATCTTTTTTAATTAAAAAAAAATTTATTTGCTGTAGGGCATGTACACTTGCCAGAAAGAGAGAGCAAGAGACAGAGAAGGAGAAAGGAAAGTGAGAAAGCAAGCCCCAGGAGGGATGGCCACACTGCAGTCCTTTCTCCTCCACTCTCCTGGGATTTTCACACCTGGAGTGATGTTCAAGCTGCTGGAGTTGGGACTCAAACCACAGAGTCAGCCATATGGGAATCCAGCCACTTTAATCTCCATGCCACTGCTGGTCCCAGGCTTTTTGCTTTTTAAGTAATTGCCTTACTTGATTTATTTTCAAGAAAGGATCTGCAAAATACCCAAATGTGAATAATCCCAGTATGTCTGCAAGTCATTCTTTCAAGTAAAAATAGTCTTCCATAACAAAGGCTGCTACTGATGGTTTAGCTTGCAACTCAATCACACAATCAGTTATTCTTGAGTCAGTCTCTACATTGGAATGCACACTAGTGTTTTATATAATCTAACTTTTTTCCATGCAGAATATTAAGAACTCTTACTTAAGGGTTGAGCTATAGTAAATTCTTGGGTCGTTGGAAAAGTCATGCTGTATTTTTGCATGGAAAAATGTGAAAAAATACATTATGACTTTTCTGATGACCCAGTAAGTTTTGGGACCAGCTCAGTGATGCACGAGTAATGCTGCTTAAGTGATGCTGGATCTCTTTGGAAGATCACAGGTTTAGTTTCCTGGCTGACCTGTGTAGGCTACTGTATATGCCCATGATGCTGGCTGGGAAGGCTAGAGGTGATCATGGTATGAGATTGTGCTTCTCTCTTTCCCCTTTACTCTCTGTCTTTCTGTGTCTACTCTCATTCTCAAGAAAGACTGAAACTTAAAAAAATAAAATACTCTTTACTGCTTTATCATACGCACTCTTAAGTAACCTGACTTTGTTTTTTTCCTGTAAGCATGCCCTGATGAATAGTGACAGCTTGATACTTTTATACTACCTTGATTTTTATACTGAGGCGTCAGAAATTTAACTCATTCTTCTTTGACTCCATACAAAGAAGTCTTTAAATTAATGTCCCATTATTATTGTGAATGTAGCTTTGCAAACTTACTGAAAGTGAGGTGTTCCCTTGGATCACATGATGAGCTGTTATAATGTGTCTGTGATTTTGGAGTACTATAAATCAATGAAGATTTTAAAGTCAGTAAGAAGGAATTTTGGTCTTTTGTTTTAAATGACAAAAATTCCAATAAGAATAAATACAAGTAGTTGAATCAAAATTGGCATAAAACACTACTGACCAGCTCTGCTCTTTCGTATATGCTTCCTCATTTAATGCATCTCCTATTTCTTTCCTGTGTCATAAACTGTCAGTGTCAGTGGAGTATCAGGAGAGAGGGGGCTCTCTTCTCATTAGTTACTCTCCCAAGAAATGTGATCCACAGGTAATGGTGATCATGTGGTCCAAATGATAAAATACAGTGACTATGTTTTCCTATTATTTATAAATGGTCATGATTCCTTCTGTATTTGCCAAGAATTTATATATTTTTGATGTTATAAGGCATTTGTGATATTTTTAGTGTAGTTTTAAAAGTATTTGTATTTTTTTACTTAGTTTTCAGTGTTTTTAAATTGGCATTTACTCTGAATTGATTTTTATTAATCTTCAGAGACTGTCTTAATCAATTCTCCATATTAATCATAAATCATGTGCTGTTTTCATAATATACAAACATACATGCAAAAATGCTTTTAAAAATTTAAGAATTTTCAGAATTTAAGTCTGGAGAAAATTTTGTTATGAAAGCCTTTACCTAATATAATGTATTGAATTTGTATATGTTGTTTTATCTTTGCTGATAAATGAAGTCATTTAAACTGAGACTTCTATTTTATTTCCATAGTGTCTTCAACCAGTCATACCATTAGATAGTAGTTTCTTTGTCTTTCAAATAATTACTTAATTTTATCATTTTTATTTCTTAATTTGATGAGAGAGAGAGAGAGAGACAGAGAGAGAATGAGAATGAGAATGAGAATAAGAGAAAGAGAAAGAGAAAGAGAGAAAGCAAGCCACCAGGTTTGGTACTCAAACCACGATCAGCCCTGTGGGAGTCCAGTGCCATAATCACCATGCCACCTGCTAGCCCCAAAGAAGTTTCTTTAGAGTTAGTTGCAAAGTAGAATCTGCCATATCAATAAACAGTCTAATTCCATTAAGAGTCATCTATTTGTCTTGCACTTGGGTGGGTCGTTTACTTATATCATTCATGGAATATTTGAAAATGTTCACTGTGTTAGGTAAATCTTCCAAAGATCAACACATTTCATTGGTAATGTTTTTAAAATAACATTTTTAGGGGATTGCAGGTGACATGGTGGTTGAAGCACTGGACTCCCACATGGCAGACCACAGTTCAAGTCCTAGACCTGGTGGCTTCTTTTCTCTCTCTGGTCAAATTGAAGACTAATATTAAATAAATAAAACTAAACAAAGAATTCTTCAAAAAAATAATATTTTTAAATTTTAAGTTTTAAATAATTTCTTAGAAAAATTCTTAAGGATTTGGAAAGCTGTTATTATCTCTGTGACAGAATTTTTTCTCTAAAATTCTAATTTCTTTTTTTAAAGCTCAAATTTGATTATTGCCAGTAAATACTATTGGGTTTTTTGTTTGATTTTAAGAATCATGTATTTTAATTTTATTTGCTATGGTTATTTTTTAATTTGACCAGAGGTAAGAAAGAAAAAATGAGAAAGCATGCTTCCAGGTCCCGGACTCAAATTGTGGTCGACCACATGGGAGTCCAGCACCTTAACCACTATGCCACCTGCTGACCCCATGGGGTTTTTTGTTCTGTTTATTTTTTTTCTTTTTTTCTTATTCATTTATTTTTGGAGAGATGTTTGCTATAAGATGCAAAGAGAGACAGGAAGAGACAGAAAAAACGGGAAATCATGCCCCTCACCCCCACCCCTGGGGTCGGAGGGATGGCTATGCTACAGTCTCTTCTCCATCCTCCTCTTGGGCACATACATGCACATACTGGTGTGAGTTTCAAGCTGGTGGGTCCAGGGCTCATGCTGGAGTTGGCCATGTAGGAGTCCAGTGCCTTAATGATTACACCACTTGCTGGTTCCATCTTTTTTAATTAAAAAAAAATTTATTTGCTGTAGGGCATGTACACTTGCCAGAAAGAGAGAGCAAGAGACAGAGAAGGAGAAAGGAAAGTGAGAAAGCAAGCCCCAGGAGGGATGGCCACACTGCAGTCCTTTCTCCTCCACTCTCCTGGGATTTTCACACCTGGAGTGATGTTCAAGCTGCTGGAGTTGGGACTCAAACCACAGAGTCAGCCATATGGGAATCCAGCCACTTTAATCTCCATGCCACTGCTGGTCCCAGGCTTTTTGCTTTTTAAGTAATTGCCTTACTTGATTTATTTTCAAGAAAGGATCTGCAAAATACCCAAATGTGAATAATCCCAGTATGTCTGCAAGTCATTCTTTCAAGTAAAAATAGTCTTCCATAACAAAGGCTGCTACTGATGGTTTAGCTTGCAACTCAATCACACAATCAGTTATTCTTGAGTCAGTCTCTACATTGGAATGCACACTAGTGTTTTATATAATCTAACTTTTTTCCATGCAGAATATTAAGAACTCTTACTTAAGGGTTGAGCTATAGTAAATTCTTGGGTCGTTGGAAAAGTCATGCTGTATTTTTGCATGGAAAAATGTGAAAAAATACATTATGACTTTTCTGATGACCCAGTAAGTTTTGGGACCAGCTCAGTGATGCACGAGTAATGCTGCTTAAGTGATGCTGGATCTCTTTGGAAGATCACAGGTTTAGTTTCCTGGCTGACCTGTGTAGGCTACTGTATATGCCCATGATGCTGGCTGGGAAGGCTAGAGGTGATCATGGTATGAGATTGTGCTTCTCTCTTTCCCCTTTACTCTCTGTCTTTCTGTGTCTACTCTCATTCTCAAGAAAGACTGAAACTTAAAAAAATAAAATACTCTTTACTGCTTTATCATACGCACTCTTAAGTAACCTGACTTTGTTTTTTTCCTGTAAGCATGCCCTGATGAATAGTGACAGCTTGATACTTTTATACTACCTTGATTTTTATACTGAGGCGTCAGAAATTTAACTCACTATTCTTTGACTCCATACAAAGAAGTCTTTAAATTAATGTCCCATTATTATTGTGAATGTAGCTTTGCAAACTTACTGAAAGTGAGGTGTTCCCTTGGATCACATGATGAGCTGTTATAATGTGTCTGTGATTTTGGAGTACTATAAATCAATGAAGATTTTAAAGTCAGTAAGAAGGAATTTTGGTCTTTTGTTTTAAATGACAAAAATTCCAATAAGAATAAATACAAGTAGTTGAATCAAAATTGGCATAAAACACTACTGACCAGCTCTGCTCTTTCGTATATGCTTCCTCATTTAAGTGTCATAAACTGTCAGTGTCAGTGGAGTATCAGGAGAGAGGGGGCTCTCTTCTCATTAGTTACTCTCCCAAGAAATGTGATCCACAGGTAATGGTGATCATGTGGTCCAAATGATAAAATACAGTGACTATGTTTTCCTATTATTTATAAATGGTCATGATTCCTTCTGTATTTGCCAAGAATTTATATATTTTTGATGTTATAAGGCATTTGTGATATTTTTAGTGTAGTTTTAAAAGTATTTGTATTTTTTTACTTAGTTTTCAGTGTTTTTAAATTGGCATTTACTCTGAATTGATTTTTATTAATCTTCAGAGACTGTCTTAATCAATTCTGCATATTAAGTCATATTAATCTTCAGAGACTGTCTTAATCAATTCTCCATATTAATCATAAATCATGTGCTGTTTTCATAATATACAAACATACATGCAAAAATGCTTTTAAAAATTTAAGAATTTTCAGAATTTAAGTCTGGAGAAAATTTTGTTATGAAAGCCTTTACCTAATACAATGTATTGAATTTGTATATGTTGTTTTATCTTTGCTGATAAATGAAGTCATTTAAACTGAGACTTCTATTTTATTTCCATAGTGTCTTCAACCAGTCTCGTCACTCCTCCAGCAGTTGTCAGTAGTCAACCTAAACCTCCAGCAACTTCAGGTTCTCTGACAGCAACATCAGTTCTTCCTGCACCAAACACAGCCACAGTAGTTGCTACTACTCAGGTCCCTAGTGGAAATCCCCAACCTACAATTTCTCTGCAGCCTTTGCCAGTGATTTTGCATGTACCTGTTGCGGTATCTTCCCAGCCTCAGCTCCTACAGAGCCATCCAGGGACTTTAGTGACCAATCAGCCATCCGGCAATGTTGAGTTCATTTCTGTGCAAAGTCCACCTACAGTGAGTGGTCTTACCAAAAATCCAGTGTCCTTGCCATCCTTGCCAAATCCCACTAAACCAAACAACGTTCCTTCTTTGCCCACTCCTAGTATTCAAAGGAACTCTACTGCGAGTGCTGCACCATTAGGGACAACACTTGCTGTACAGGCTGTTCCAACAGCATATTCTATTGTTCAAGCCACAAGGACTTCTTTACCCACAGTAGGACCATCAGGACTCTATAGTTCATCAAATAATCGAGGCCCTATACAGATGAAAATTCCAATTTCTGCATTTAGTACTTCATCTCCTGCAGAACAAAGCAATTCTACCACACCAAGAATTGGTAAGTCTCCATATATGTTTAGTAATAGGAATGCAAGCATGTTAATGGCCTTTAGATGACTGAACTTTTGTTATGAAAGTGACTAGCATTATTAGAAAAATAAGTAGGTCTGTTTTGAAATTATTTCTAGTAATTTCTTAGATACCTAAGAGTAATGAATTGTTACAATGGGGTTTGAGAGGTGATTTATTTTGAGTGATTTCTTTTCCTGCAGCTCGCCACTCCACCAGCACTGTGGGCACACTCTTGTGAGCCTGGTGTGTGTTTCAAGCCTTCAGGGCCTGGAATCAAACCCTAGCTGGCTATGTGGAATCTGGCTTCCTCTGCACAGGGCTTACCCCAGTTCTTAGATTTTTTTTAATATGTCAACTTATTTATGATGAATGTTGTTTTATGTGATTTTGGAGCTTTTTGTCCTTATGACATTTTGAGATTTAGTTATGGTTTTTATTTTTAACTCATGGTCATGAGGTGAAATACAGATTTTTTTTTTTTTTTTTAATTTTCTAGGGGGTACATGCTGTCACTGGACAGAGAGGGAGGGAGCATGCATGTGCAAAAGCGAAAGAAAATACCCTCTGTGGGGAAAGGTCATGCTGTGATCTTCTCTCCTCCACTCTACTTTTGGAATTTGGGCATGAAAACACACATGCTGGATGTGTTTTTCAAGTCCCCACATTTAAGACTTGAGTCAAACTAGGCAGTTGGCCATATGGGATTCACCTACCTTAATGACCACACCACCAGCTGGTTCAAGCTATTATTTTTATTTTTTTATTTTTCATTTTTTGGAGAGGTTTTTGCTATAGGGTGTATGCATTCACCAGAAAGAGAGAGACAGAGAGGCAGAAAGTGAGAAATCAACTCCCAGGAAGAATGGCTTTGCCACAATCCCTTCTCCTCCATTCTCCTCTCAGGATCTTGGGCTTCCACACACACGTGCCCAGTGTGAGTTTAAGCCACCAGGTCTGGAACTCAAGCTGCAGTCGACTACATAGGAGTCCAGTGACATAGCCATTATACCAACTACTGGTCCCTCAAGCTATTATTTTTAAATAGAGAGCTTTTCCTGAAAACCATAACCTAAAAACAAGTAAAACAAAAACTTGAGAAAGTGTTTTAATCAGAAATATAATTTCATTATTCCTTTTTTAAGGTTTTTATAAACATTTGATTGTACAAAAAAGCATATATTCCCCAAATATCTAGATGATATTTTGGTAATAGTAATAAGAGCCACCATATATTTTATGTATAGGATTTACTCTATGTGTGTATGTTCTGAAGACTTGCCTATGAAAGGAAAGCTTTATTTTGACTAAGAGGGTTTTGTGTCAGAAAGAATGGAAATTTCAATGTTAAAAAAACCTTAATACTGCAATTAGCCACATTGCCAAAGAGTTTGGAAAGCTAATCATCTAAGTAGATGGAAAAAATATTTGATAAAATTTAGCACCTTCTCCTTCTCCACCACTCTCCTTTAGAAATTGGTTTATTTTCTGTGCTTCTCTGGAGGTAACTGTTTTATGTAACTTCTTTTTATTTTTTTAAAGCAGAAATTCAAAACAAGTCTATTTCTCTGTAAGGACATAGTATGAAAGAATTGTATTTTGTTTAACCAGCTACTCACGTTAGTGCATTTAAATGAAATACATCTTAAATTACATCCCGGAGAGATTCCTTACTATAAAGTTGAAATTACTGGGTCTATGGGTATGTGACATTTTTTGGGGGGGGGGGGGTTTTCCTTTAGGGGGGCGGCCAGACAGACAGAGAGAGACATAGAGACAGAAAGCAAGAAATCATCCCCTGGGCCGATGGTCACGCTGCAACCCCTTCTCCTCCATTCTCCGCTTGGGATCTCGGGCATGTATGCACATGCGCCTGGCGTGAGTTTTAAGCCACCGGGTCTGGGACGCGAACCGCGGTCGACTACGTGGGAGTCTAGCGACATAGCCATTACGCTAACTGCTGGTTCCCTGGGTATATGACATTTTTGATTCATGTTGTGAATTTGCCCTTCTGAAAATTACTATAGCAGTGACCTATGTGTGAACCCATTTACATACATAACAAAAAAATTGTTGGAGAAAATTGCATGAAATACTGTATTAGAGCAACCTAGTATTTTATATTTTATAGGTGTTTTTAAAAATGGCTTTTTATTTCTCTTTAGAAAACCAGACAAACAAAACAGTAGATGCTTCTGTTAATAAAAAGGCAGCTGATAGCACATCACAGGTAAGATTTTTTTCTATGTCAAGGTAAAATTCTAATTACAATCCATAGGAAAATGGATTTCTGACAGTTAAAATTATATTGTCTGTTGGGGCCACCAGATGGCGTAGTGGTTACGTTGCTGGACTCCCACATGGATGATTGCAGTTTGAGTCTCAGGCCCCACAGGTTGAAAATCACATGGGCACATGTGCATGCATGCCCAAGGTTCCAGGAGGAGAATGGAGAAGAAGGGATTGCAGCGTGGCCATCTCCTGGGGGGTGATTTCTCACTTTCCCGCTCATTGTCTCTCTCTGGCGAGCAAAGGTTCCCTAAGGCAGAAACCTCTGAAAGAAAAAATTAATACTGTTTTTTTTACAACCATGCAAACATTTTTTCAGTTTTTCTGTACTATTTGATAAGACTTAGTTTCTTTGCTTAGCAGTTCTCTTAGAGGCAATATTACATTAACCAACTGATTGGATTATACATTCTAATCATTTTTACTTAATATACTGTAAAGATTCATTCTGCATGGGCCAGCAGACGATGTGGAGGTTATGGTGACTGGTTTCCATGTGGCCGGCTGTGCAGTTTGAATCCTGGACACATGTACGTGTGTGCCCAACATCTCAGAGAATGGAATGCAATGTGACTGTCTTCCTTGGGGTTGATTTCTCACTGTTTCTTTCTCTCCCTTTCTCTCTCTCTCTGTTTCTCTCGCTGGTGGGCACATACACCTTATAGCAATACTGGAAAAAAAAATTGAAAGATTCAGTCTGTGTGAAGAAAACACATAATTCTTCTAGGCTTATTTTTTTGAGAGAGCTTCTTGGCTTACCCTTATTTTGTACTGTCAGTTTAGTTTCCGCAAATGTAATCAGAAATCTCTTTGGAGGAAGGAAATCTTTGAGTTTCTGAGAGTTTATTACCACTTTACCAGTCTTGGCACTTTTTCATATTAGATTTTAACCACCAATAATGGAGTGAGTGACTACTACTTTTCCCATATTAACAAGGACTTCTTAGTCCTTCTGTATTACTTTAAATGTAATAGATTTATAGCAGGTCCTTAGGTTGTTGATAGTTTTACTTTGTTCTTTCGTTCTTAATCATTTCAAAAAATGCATATATTCCTAGAAAAACAAGTCTTAAGAATGTCAGGCATGGATAAATGACACAAATTTTAAAATAAGGGCATAATGATCTTTAATTATGACTATTTTCTTGTAAATTTTTGATAAAAGTTAGACACCCGGGTTTTATACATTATATAAAAGCTATTAAAACATTTTATTTCTTGTAAACTTAAGCAATTTATGTGTGGGATATTAAATGATTATTTCTGAGGCTGTCTTGTGGATTATAACTATGGTTTCATTTTATATTATTTGAGATACTTTCTAGACACATGTGTAGAAATGGTTGATATAATATATGCAATGATGTTTATACAAGTCTAGTTGTACTTTATAAAGTAAACCTAAGACTAAAAAGAGAATTTATAAACATCTTTTTCACTCAGTGGTTGTGTGTGTGTGTATGTGTGTGTTTTAGATGAGATAGGTAATGTTTCTAGGACACAAAAACAGATATTATATGGCTGTATTTCATTGTTAAATAAAGAGTGGTACTTTTAGCACTATGCTGTTTAATGTGGTACCCACTAGTCATGTATAACTTAAAATTAAATACAAAATTAAGTTCCTCAATCATGATAACTGCATTTCAAGGCTTAATAGCCACATATGGCTAGTGGTTATCTTAATAGGACAACATAGATGTCATTGTCAGATGTTTTATTGGACTACAAATTCTAGAGTGTTTTGCTGAATAGTGTAATAACATAACATTGTGTGAATTAAAATGGGTATAAACGTTAGCTATGTCTCCAAAATTCAGGAAGAAGTATAAAACAAAATAATATTAACTATAGTTATGTCCAATTACATATTCTATAAAATTTAAATCATTATGTGTTACTTCATACTTATAGCATTTAGAGTCTAAAGTATTTTAGTTTACATTGTACTGTATAACTGACATATTTGAAGAAATAACTTGTATTAATCAATCCAAAAGATACATGAAATAGGAATTAATATTATTAAACAAAAGATAAATAATTATACCAAATATTGTTATTGTAGATACTTTATTTGGTTTAGAGAAAGAGGAATTCATATCAGAATATGAAAAACACAGGCAGACAGTTTGATTGAGTAACTAACTTGCTGAAGCAATGCTTTTGTCAAGAATAGCGAAGCTTCAGCTTTGAGTACCAGTTGTGGATATGATAATAAATACAGTAAGCAAGTTTTATTATACAGTAATTGACCCTTGATGTAAGAGTTAGGGCCTCCAAATCTTTGTATAACATTTTTGTAAAGAATTATTTATTATTACTATTTTTAAAATTTGCTAAGGGCACACACACTCACCAGAGAGAGACAGTGAGAAAACAAGCCACCAGGTCCAGGCCTTGAACCGTGGCTGGCAATGTGGGATCCACCACCTTAACTACCTAATGCCATGTGCTGGCCCTTGTATAACTTTTGATTCCCAAAAAATTAGCTACTAATAACTTACACTTATTTTGTGTGTTACATGTATTATATTATCAGAAAAGTTATGACTTTTCCAACAACCTAATATTTTGTACTATAATCTTTTTTAAAGAATTACTTTATTTTTGGGAACGTGCAGTTAGCTTAATGGCTATGTTGCTGGACTCCCACGTAGTCGGCCGCGGTTCGCGTTCCCGGTGGCTTAAAACTCACGCTGGGCGCATGTGCGTGCATGCCCAAGATCCCGAGAGGAGAATGGAGGAGAAGGGATTGCGGCATGACCATCCCCCCTGGGGGGTGATTTCTTGCTTTCTGTCTTTCTGTCTCTCTCTGTCTGGCGAGCGCACGCGCCCTATAGCAAAAACCCCTCAAAAAAAAAAAAAAAGAAAAAGAAAATAATTACTTTATTTTAACTTTATTTATCATTAATATTTTCCAATTTGACCAGAGAGAGAGGGAAAACAAGAAAGAAAGCTACCAGTTCCGGAGCTTGAACCATGGTCAGTCGTGTGGGAGTCCAGCGCCTTTAACTACCACACCACCCCTGTACTTTAATCTTACTATAAAGTAAGTTAAATGACCAGATGTGTGGCCTGGTGATTAAGGCAATGGGATTCCATGTGGTCAATTGCACATTTGGAGTCCTGGACTCAGTGGCTCAAGAAACTTCACTGGTTTCATATGCACATATGCTCAAAATCCTAGTTGGGAGATAGGGAGGAAAATGAATTGTGGCATGACCATTTTCCATGGCTGTTGCTTTATTCTTTACTTTCCTGTTTCTGTGCCTTTCTCTTTCTGGTGAATTCACAACTTTTTAGATAAAAGCTAAAAAATTAAGAAAAGGAAGTGTTACTAATAAGATCATACAGAAGAAATACGTATTTGTTGTTCAGAGATCAGCCATATGATTAAGAACGTCATTGTGAAGTGCATATATGTGTTTGCTGGCATGAATTTTTTGCAACAAATGTAATTTTTGTTACTGCAGTGAATGCCTTTATTAATATAACACTGTTGGTTTTTTAAGTTAGCTTTTTGTCCTATATGTCATTATTATCAGATAGAAATTAGTGTGAAATAGATAGCCTGTGATTTCTTGAACTGTCACTTTTTTTCTTTTTATAATTTGTCAGAGGGAGCATGTGCTCAGGGGGTAGGGGGCTGTGAGAGTTAAAGGGAGAAAGCACATTCTCCCCCATAGGAGGCAGAAACACCACAGTCCCTTCTCCATTTCTCCCTCTAACCAGGATTTTGGTCATGCACAGTGTCCGTTGTGTTTTTCAAGTCTCCAGGCCCGAGACTCAAGTCGCAGTTGGCCATGTGGGATCCAGCTGCCCTAACCACCATGCCACTGACTAGCTCTGAACTGTTCCTTGTACTGAAGTACAATTGGCTTACTTCATTTTTTCTATTCCAAGTTTCTTGGTTGTGTTTCTTTACACTATAAAGCTATTGTAGATTAAAAATAATCTAGATGGCTGTGGAAATGATTATTGTTTAGCCATATCTAATTAGAAAATATTTAAATATGGGGAGCAGAGGCAGCAGCCGGAGGAGCAGCAGAAGCGGTCGGGAGCGATGGTGAAGATGGCGGCGGCTGGGAGGGGAGGCGGCGGGGGGCGCTACTACGGCGGCTTTTTTTTCGCTCCTCCGGTGGCGGCAGTGAGGGCGGCCGGGCCCCTAAGCGGCTGAAGACTGACAACGCTGGCTACCAGCACGGAGGCAGTGGCAGTGGTGGTGGAGGATCTGGGGTGGTGGGTGGCAGCGGCGGGGAGAACTGTGATGACCTGCACAAAATCCCTGCTTCCCCAGTTATCCACATCAGGGGTCTGATTGATGGCGTGGTGGAAGCTGACCTCGTAGAAGCCTTAAAGGACTTTGCACCCATCAGCTATGTGGTGGTAATGCCTAAAAAGAGACAAGCACTGGTGGAGTTTGAAGATGTGTCGGGGGCTTGCAATGCAGTGAACTATGCAGCAGACAACCAGATCTATATTGCTGGTCACGCAGCATTTGTCAGCTACTCTACTAGCCAAAAGATCTTCCGCCCTGGGGACTCAGATGACTTCCGGAGGGTCAATAGTGTGCTTCTCTTTACCATACTGAACCCCATCTATTCCATTACAACGGATGTTCTTTACACTGTCTGTAATCCTTGTGGCCCTGTTCAGAGAATTGTCATTTTCCGGAAGAATGGAGTCCAGGCCATGGTGGAATTTGACTCTCTGCAAAGTGCCCAGCGGGCCAAGGCCTCGCTCAATGGGGCTGACATTTATTCTGGCTGTTGTACTCTGAAGATTGAATATGCAAAGCCTACACGCTTGAATGTGTTCAAGAACGATCAGGATACTTGGGACTATACAAATCCCAACCTCAGTGAACAAGGTGACCCTGGCAGCAATACCAGCAAATACCAGAGGCAGCCCCCTCTCCTGGGAGATCATCCCACAGAATATGGAGGGCCTCATGGTGGATACCACAGCCATTACCGTGATGAGGGCTATGGCTCTCCCCCACCTCATTACGAAGAGAGAAGGATGGGCCCACTAGTGGGGGGTCCCCGTCGGGGCCCAAGCCACTGCAGCCCCCAATATGGGTATCCCCCACCCACTCCCCCACCACCTGAGTACAGCCCCCACAGTGACAGCCCTGTGCTCATGGTCTATGGCTTGGATAAATCTAAGATGAATTGTGACAGAGTCTTCAATGTCTTCTGCTTATATGGCAATGTGGAGAAGGTAAAATTCATGAAAAGCAAACCTGGGGCTGCCATGGTAGAAATGGCTGATAGCTATGCTGTGGACCAGGCCGTTACCCACCTCAACAACAACTTCATGTTTCGGCAAAAGCTGACTGTCTGTGTCTCCAAGCAACCAGCCATCATTCCTGGACAGTCATACAGGCTGGAAGACGGGTCTCGCAGTTACAAAGACTTCGGCGAGTCGAGGAACAATCGGTTTTCCACTCCAGAGCAGGCAGCCAAGAACCGCATCCAGCACCCTAGCAATGTGCTGCATTTCTTCAATGCCCCTCTGGAGGTGACTGAGGAGAACTTCTTTGAGATCTGCGATGAGCTAGGAGTGAAGCGGCCGTCTTCTGTGAAAGTATTCTCAGGCAAGAGTGAACGTAGCTCCTCTGGGCTGTTGGTGTGGGAGTCCAAGAGCGATGCCCTGGAGACTTTGGGCTTCCTCAACCATTACCAGATGAAAACCCCAAATGGCTCATACTGGTACACTCTGAAGTTGTGTTTCTTCACCGCTCAGCACGCCTCCAAATTAGGTGCCTAGGAACAGTCCCATCTGAGCAGGAAAACGTTCCTCTCTCTTTTATGCCGTTTTCTTTTTCAAAAGTCCTTGTATTTCTTCTTTTTTTTGTTAATGCTAGGTTAGTAGAGACTTAGTCATAATGGAAACACTGGAAGTATGGAGGGGGAGGAAGAGGGGGAGGGAGAGGGGGACTGATATCTCCCAAGTTTAAAAAAAATTATTATACATGGGATTTTTTTTTTTCCTGTTCATACATTTGTGTTGCCTGTGTACTCTTGGCACATTTCAATAAAAACTGTTTGGAAAATAAAAATAAATATGTAAAAAATTATCTTTTTGTAGTCCTTGAATATAGATTTCTATGAGTCCAAAATAGGTCTTTATTAATCTCTTTCACAAAATTGTTACATTTCATTCATGTATGACTTAATATAATTATTTCTTAATATATTTAGTGAAAGTAAATTTATTGATCTGTTTAAATTATTTACTTATATTATAAACCAGTGTAGAATTTATTCCTTTATTGCTATTTGTAGTTATTTTGCTGTTTTGAGTACTTGAGGTCATTGTCAAGTTTGCTGGTTTTCTGGAAGGAGTCATGAGACATTAACAGGTTTTATTGTAGTAACAGTTTATCAGAATTACAAAGTGTAGAGCAAGAGGAACAGAAAAAGATAATCATTGAGTGAATTCAGAGAGGTCAGGCAGCGCTTCTAAGTCTTCTGACAGATCACATGGGATTTTTTTCTTTCTTCCTTTTTTTTTTTTTGGTTTTATTTATTTATTCCACGAATGAGAAAGAAAAATAGAAAGAAACACAGCTACAGCCTCCCAAGTGGGGTCCAGACACTGCCGTTTACTCCCAGCCTCAGCCAGCCCAGATTACAGGCATGCGTTCCTTTTGTACTAGGGGACGTTCCCAGACACAAACTGGTACCTTATCATGTGGGTCTGTCTCACAGAGCATTGCATTTTACAACTGCACACCATCTGGTTTCCAGGATTTATTTTCTCTCTAGCTTATTACCTATAGGAACATGTGCCAAGAACATCTGTCCAGAGATGCCTGATTGACTCTCAGGGTGTTAAGTTTTTAAGAGGGCTGGTCACATAGTCTCATTTTTCTATGACTCAAGACCTCAACAGTGAAACCTGGGTACACAAGTCAGTCTTGATATTTCTGCAAAGAAATGTTATCAAGCCAGTATGGTACAGTCTACAGTTCAAGGTGTGTATAAAAAATTAGTTATTAACGTGACCTTCCAGGGGCCACATTCTTGATAGCTGAACAAGCCTCAATTACAGTTCTAATTTCCCTTGAGAGATGTGAAAGGAGTGAGCAACCAGGTCATTTGTATAATTTTATTTTACAGTTGCTGAAGTGCTCTACTTTAGCCTTTTAGATATATTCTTCTTAAATGTTTCAGTATAAAAAACTAGAAAGCCATTATCTTTGTTCTTTTGAAATTTTCTTAAAAATTTTTCTGTGTTAGTTTAATGAGACTGGTCATTTTGGGGAAGGATATGATTAGCTAACTTTTTTTTTTTTTTTTTTTTTTTTAAGTTTGCTATAGGACATGCATGTGCACAGGGGAGAGACAGAGAAAGTGAGAAATCACCTCTACCCTCCTGGAGGAACAGCTATGCTACAGTTCCTTCTCCCTATTCCCCATTCTCAGGATTTTGAACATGTATGTGCACACATCCAGCATGATTTTCAAGCCACTGGGTCCAGGACACTTTATTGTTGATATTGTGTGGTTTTTAAAGTTCTATTTTTTTTCCTTTTGATCCTAATTTCTAATTATTTGAACAAGTGGCTTGACTTGTGTCAAATTGGTGTCCACTTAATAGTATAGCATACCATGTTAAGTTATGCCATATTTTACCATTTTTTAGAGTAAGAAAATAAGATTGGAGGGACCAGCAGTTAGCGTAATGGCTATATCGCTGGACTCCCATGTAGTCGACCGTGGTTCGCGTCCTGGACCCGGTGGCTTAAAACTCAGGCTGGGCGAGCGCACGTGCCCTATAATGAAAACCTCTCAAAAAAAAAAAAAAGATTGGAGTCTTTTTTATTTTTTGGAGAGGTTTTTGCTATAGGGCGCGTCCACTCGCCAGACAGACAGAGACAGACAGAAAGCGAGAAATCATCCCCCAGGGGGGATGGCCACACCGCAGTCCCTTCTCCTCCATTCTCCTCTCAGGATCTTAGGCATGTACGCACACACGCCCGGTGTGAGTTTAAGCCACCGGGTCTGGGACTCGAACTGCGGTCGACTACGTGAGAGTCCAGTGACATAGCCATTATGCTAACTGCTGGTCCCAAGATTAGAGTCTTTTACGTAACCTAATTTGGGCTTTAGAGATTGCTTTTGGTGTTTTAGTGGGTTAATATTGATAATCTAGAGTAGGATTGATCAGTATTTTAAATTTCAGAAAATTAATGATGTTTGTATCTAGTCACTTATGACTTGAAGGATCTAACTGCTTTAATAGCTCTGTTCAGTAGATAGCTTCCTATTTTTTTTTTAAGAATTATTTAACTTTATTTATTTTAATTTGATCAGAGGGAGAGAGCATAAGAGAGAGAGGGAAAGTGAGAACGCAAGCCACTGGATCCAGGACTTGAACCCCGGTAGGCCATGTGGGAGTCCAGCGCCCTTAACTACCATGCTACCTGCTGGCCCAGATAGCTTACTTTTTAAAGTTAAACACTTCTAGAATGGGGGGGGGATATTTAAAATTTTTGTTTGTATGGTGGATGTTTAACTCATAACCATCCTAGAACATATATCGACAGACTCTCTTTCTTCACTTAAAACCATTAGGTTTTTTTCCAGTTTGAAACAGGTTTTTCATTATCTTTGTTTCCCTTCATTATTAGTACCTTTTTGTTTCTTTTTCTTTTCTTTTTTTAAATATTTGCCAGAATTTGTAAAATGCAGACATTTTGTTTTTCAGAGTGGAAAAGCCACTGGCAATGATTCAGGTGGTGTCATTGATCTCACAGTGGATGAAGAAGAGAGTGGAGCTTCACAAGGTACTTACATAGTAATTATACTAAGGAATGCTTTGATACTATTTTTTCCTCTTAATATAGGACAGTATTAAGGCTGATCTCTTTAACATTCAGAATGGGAGTGTTTAAAATGAGAATTAAAAAATATAAATTAAATCTTCAATGAATACGAACAAGGTATAGAGGAAAAGAGCAATTAGGGAATTGTGGAGTACCTCTGGTTTTGTGTTACTATTTTACTTGATCTGTGCAGTAACCCTGCAATACTTATTTTAAAATTGAGGGCACTTAGTTAACCGTAATGAGGGCAAACTAGAATCAGCATGAGATCTGAGAATGAAATGTATATTTTTAAAAATTATTTATTTAATTACATTTATTATTATTTATTTTTTTATTTGACTAGAGAGAGAGAAAGGGAAAGTGAGAAAGCAAGCTGCCAGGTCCAGTACTCAGCCAGGTGGGAATCCAGCACCTCTAACGACCTCGCCACCTGCTGGCCCTGAGAATGAAATCTTAGTCTTCTGATTTTACAATAAATATTCTCTCCCTCTTCCCCAGCCCATCCCTGCTCTCTGTGTATATGCATGTGTATATGTTAATGTAGATACTTAATTGTGTGTGTGCATTTAGTTTTGTTTATTTAAAGTAATTTCTATTTAGATTATGTAAGAATGCAAGTAATTTAAAGTACTCATATCCAAAATCCTCTCAGATTACTCTGAGTTACTGTACTTAGAAACTTTATTCGATAGATATTAAAACACATTCCCAGTAATTTTTATTATTAATAGGTATCCCATGAAGGAAAAGTTTCATGGTTAAATATACTTAGGCAATGCTGAATTAAAGTTAAATGGGCTTTTTCCTTAATGAATACGTCTCTGAGTTTTTACTATGCTAATTTGTAAATCTCCAAAAATGAATGGAAGTATAAAGTGTTTCTCAAAGTTATTTGACTGTACAAAACAATTTTATTCATGAACATACATGTAAAACTTTGTAGTAATAATTAATGCTTATAGAAAATTTAGTAAGAGCAGCGCTTGGTTAACTATTATTACCTTAAAACATTTATTATTTTAGAGATGCTAAAGATTCAAAAAGTCATATTTTAGGAAATGAAATAGATTAATTGGTTTTAGGAAAACAAAATGAAATAGCTGTGCAATTGACAATACAGTTAACTTTGTTGTTACATGAACTGAAGTGAAATTAGGAAGTCTATGTCATCCTTTATCTGGATTGAATTTATGCCAGTCTGATTACTTTAAAAAACATTTCAAATTATCTGTATTGATGACATTTTCTTCTTTTATGCCAGAGGGCACATATGAAAGTACCCCCTAGTAGGGCCTACTTATACCTCAGTCCCCCCCGCCCCAATTCTTTATTCCATTAGGATTCTGTGCACATACCCATACACCTGACATGTTTTTCAAGGTGCCAGGTGTGAGACTTTAACCCTGGCCAGTCATGTGGGGATCCAGCTTCCTCTGTTCAGTGATTAACCATTGTGCTTTGGGACCAGCCCTGCTTTCATTATTTATTTTATTTTTTTATAGACAGGTTTGGTATAATGAATCCCTAGAGGACCAAAATAAATACAGGTTATTTTTTGAGAGGCAATAGGTAGGGCTGATTCTAGATTAAAAAGTGAAGTAAGCAGGACTAACAGAGGCATAGTGGTTACATTGCTGGACTTCTACGTGGCTAACTGTGATTCGAATCCTAGACCCAGTTACTTGAAACTCATGGTGGGTGCATGTGCGGTCGTGCCCAAAATCCCAAGAGGAAAAGGGATTGCCATGTGACCATACCCCTTGGGGATGATTTCTTGCTTTCTATCTCTCTGTCTTGCTCTGTTGTTTCAGTGAGTTCATGTGCCCTATAGCAAAAATTTTTCTTAAAAAAAAAAAAAAAAGAAGGAAGGAAAGTTTGTTTCAGCACTCTTGCTTTTCTTCTAACATCCAAGCATCTTGGGGTTTCTTTCCACTGCTGTTGCCTTAACTGTATCTTAAATTCTCCCATTCTCAATGTACAGTATTTTCCAATAGCATCAAATTAGAAGACTGATTGCTAAAGCCTTAATTTTACTTATATATTAGTGAGGAATTGCATAGGACAGATATTATTGGGGATCATTTTAGATAGAA